AACCTCCCTTCCCGCCTCCTCTTCCGCCACGCCACCTGTTTGATTCTCTCTCCAAGGTATACACCCTCCCTATTTGTCTATTTCGGCGCTTCCACCCACCCATCCTCCCCCGGAAGCCGCGTCTTCGACAAGATTCAACCTTCGACTTGTACCCCGTTGTCTCGCTTCAACAATCAATCCCAATTTCACGGGAATCTGTTTTAAATCTTGCGCCTTCTCGTGTCTCGCGCCCTGAATCTGGTGGATCCTGAGCACGCTTCTCGAGCACCGTGGCCAGAGGAATTCGACCATCTGGATGGATCCGTCTGTTTATGCGCGAATAACGGATTCAATCGAGATTCTTATTTTTTTAGTATGGAAGTATCTTACCTTGAATCTTGATGAATACGTTGAAATGGCTGGAAAATAAATAAGTGGAATATAAATTTGGAAAAAAAAAAAAAAGAATTTTTCCATTTACCACGTTCGTCGTCGTTGTTAAGGTCGGATTAAAAATTTTTTTTTTTGACAGTATATGTCAAAAAGTATATAAAATCATTCGAATAATTCAACAATTATATAAATTATATAAATACAAAAATCACGTTAATGGGATATTACAATGTATCATGTATTTGAATTGAAGAAATATTTTTACAATTTTCAAAATTTTTTAAGAATAATCAAATATGATTAACCCATGATAAACTTTCGAAAAATACTTAAAAACTATTATTACTCGTATTCAATATTCGATATACGAATATTAATCTCGTCGAATAGACGAAAGGGATTACGATTATTTCCATTAAATCTAATATATATAAATGAAGGGAGAAAATTAATCAAACGCAATGACTGAGAAGCCTTTTTATACCAACGACAATAAACAAATAAAGTGCTTAAACGGTGTAACGCAAGAAAAGATCCGGATTAAGGTGTTAACCACATTGAATTGCAACACCTTTACGTTTATTTATAATATACCAGCAAGAGCAGCAATGTTATATAATCATAATAATAATTAATCGTAGAGTGCAGTATTATGTACAACCAAACGGAAAAACTCGGACTCTTTACGTCGTAAGTAGTTTTAGGAAAATATTTTACACAGGTGGATCGAATTTAAAACGGTTTTAAAAACAATAAACGACGATATTCGTGTTCTCTTTTTCCTTCTTTTTTTTTTTTCCCCGTTTTTTTTTTTTTTTTGTTTCCTCCCTCTTTTCTCTCTTCTTTTCCCCTTCTATCTTACTTTACAAACCCGTTAGAACGTCTCTCGCCGACCTTTACAAAAAAATTTACAGTGTTCAAAGCGCCACGAACACCCAACATCCTTCTTTTACATGTACACGATTGAAGAAACGTTTACAGTAAAGAATAAATATATATGTATATATATATATATGTATATATGTATAATATGTATATATGTGCACTAAGTATCTCTTAACAAGTTCTGTCATCAATTTTCTCATTCGCATACTCGTGCCTCGTTTCTTATTTTATTTGTTTCACACCTTGAAAAATACATTATTACATTAACATTATTAATTATTAAAAAAAAAAAAAAAAAGTT